AAACTTGAACTGTATTCCCTTGTTCTCCAGGTGGGAGCCTGATTGCCAAAACTTGAACTGTATTCCCTTGTTCTCCAGGTGGGCGACTGATTGCCCAAACTTGAATTGTATTCCCTTGTTCTCCAGGCGGGCGCCTGATTGCCAAAACTTGAATTGTATTCCCTTGTTCTCCAAGTGGGCGCCTGATTGCCAAAACTTAAATTGTATTCCTTTGTTCTCCAGGTGGGGCGCCTGATTGCCGAAACTTGAATTATATTCCCTTGTTCTCCAGGCGGGCACCTGATTGCCAAAAACTTGAACTGTATTCCCTTGTTCTGCAGGTGGGCGCCTGATGCCAAAACTTGAACTGTATTCCCTTGTTCTCCAGGTGGGCGCCTGCCACTACAACAAAACAGATAAAACAAAAGAAACTTTTCTGCCCCAGTTTGGTATCTAGACACATCTGTGAGTGTTAATCGAATCATGTTACCTAAAAGAGTTCTAAGAATTTAAAAGCTAAATTCCAATATCCAGGAGGGCCCTGAAACTTCAAATTAAATCTCATCTTAAGAGCGACAACTTTAAATCCAAATTATATTTCCTAAAGGTAGAACTTACGCTAAATCTTGTTATCTATGAAGGTCTTGAAATTTAACTAGGTCCCATTATCCAGGAGGGTCCTGAGAACTTTTAAAATTAAATCCCATTATCCCGGAGGGCCCTGAAAATTTTAAATTAAATCTCGTTATCCAGGAGTGTCCTGAAAACTTAAAACTAAATCCCATTATCCAAGAGGGTCTCGAAAACTTGAAAACTAAATCCCATTATCCAGGAGGGTCCTGAAAACTTGAAAACTAAATCCCATTATCTAGGAGGGTCCTGAAAACTTAAAATTAAATCCCATTATCCAGGAGGGTCCTGAAAAGCCGAGAATGAACTTACCTGAGCCATGCTCTCTTCTTGGAGGATTCTGAACAGAATTTCTTGCCCCTGAACCATGCCTAACTCATGGGAGGGTCCCTGTTGATTAACAAATTTTCTTGCCCCTGTTTCAAACAAATAAAAGTTTGTTAGTTTGAAAACGTGGTGGTTAGTTTATGGCATCATTGCTGAGTGTCTGCTTCTGCCACTGCCATGCTTCATTCTGATTGGCTGCTTCGGGTTAGCAAGGATTTGTTTGACCTTTTGATTGGAACTGGACCACAAAACATCTGAATGGCCTGAATCTCTTACACTCACTTGTTGCATTGTGTTTTCATTCTGAAGGTTGTTGGATCCTTGTATTTTCTCAAAATTCAAGATTCACTTGATTGCCTGAACCTCAGTTATCACCATACTGCTTATTCTAAATCATGTCAATTATGATGTGCCTGGCCGAACTCCGCTTTGTGCCATTTAGAAGCTGGTAGTAGGCGCGAATGACCTTTGCATCAGTTGCTTTGTGATTTCTTCTTTGATCTTCACACTTATGTCAGTCTTGAATTTTCTTAACTTTTGCTTGACAGGAGGGAATGCTGGATCAGTTGGTAATTTATGAACTACCAAATCAATGTTCAAGCCTGGCATATCGTCATACGACCATGCAAAGACATCTTCGTACTCAAATAATGCTTTGATTATTTCTTCCTTAACTTGTGGTTCCAGATGCACACTTATCTTGGTTTCCCTAACATTATCCTGGTCTCCTAAATTGATTGCTTCAGTTTCATTCAAATTATGCTTTGGTTTCTCCTCAAAGTGTTTTAGCTCATTACTGATTTCCTCAAATGCTGCTTCTTCATCATATTCTGTTTCATCATCATACTCTACTTCTTGGATTATTATTTCAGAATTAGATTGGATTTTAAGACTTGGCTGAAAATTCCTCATGCACGTCATGTCATTGCAACCAGCATAAAAAGAACTATACAAAAGAAAAACAAAATGAAACACTATTAGGAATAACTGAAAATGAAAAATTGCATTTCATTGAAAATAAAAGGATAGAAGGGTTTGAACATCAAAACAAGCAAAAATAAAAATCTGGATTACAACCCTGGAATAACCCAGATAACAGAAAGGAAAACAAAGCAAACTACCACAACTCCTTCCTGGTGGGGAAAAGAGTAGCCTTCCAATTGTTAAGCTTCACTTTCGGCCCGACGAACTGCACATCCGCTTTGCTGGAACCTTCTCCAATTTCCACCATGTTCACCTCATCAAATAACCTCTGGAACCTTTCAATTAATTCTTCATCAACGTCAACCACGGGATTTGGGACTGCTGACACTGGGCGCTTCACGGTCCCTGGTTTGACAAAGGACCTGGAGAGGCGTGGGATAGGTTTCGGGAGTGCCCATGCCTTCTTTTTCGATCTTTTAGCCCTTTTCACATCTTCCCCTGTGGGCCTGAATCCTAGACCAGACGTACCTAAATTTTCAGGTAGAGACACTGGCTGCACGATACCTTGTAAAGATGCGCCCAGACCTTTGCCCGGTACAAAACCATTCTTCAGCATCTCAGATGCCACCATGACATATGCAGAGGCTAACTTCGGACGTGGAATACATTCCCCTTCTGGAACCTTCTCAACTGGCACTGTTTCAGAAACTTGGTAGACCCAAGGCCCCTTATCATCTTCGGCCTCAATAAACGGAACGGAGGTATCATTGTAAGCACCTAGGGTATCATCACCATGCATGATAATCTCCTGCCTGTCCCACTCAAACTTGACCATCTGGTGCAAAGAGGACGGGACTGCTTTGGCAGCATGTATCCAGGGCCGACCCAACAACAAATTGTAAGAGACGGATATATCCAGTACCTGGAACTCGATGGTAAATTCAACTGGTCCTATTGTCAGTTCAAGCACAATATCACCAACATAATCTTTTCCCCCTCCGTCAAAACCTCGGACACATATACTGTTCTTGTGGACCCTTTCAGTATCAATTTTCAACTTGTGTAGAGTAGAGAGAGGGAAAATGTTCGCACTGGAGCCATTATCCACCAACACCCTAGTAACCATAGAATCTTCACATTTTACTGTAAGATAGAGAGCTTTGTTGTGTTCGGTACCTTCCACAGGCAACTCGTCATCCGAGAAGGTGATCATGTTCACCTTAAATATCTTGTTGGCAATTTTCTCCAAATGGTTCACTGTGATTTTGTCGGGGACATGAGCTTCGTTCAGAATCTTCATCAGGGCCCGGTAGTGCTCATTTGAATGGATCAACAATGATAGCAGGGAAATCTGAGCAGGAGTCTTTCTCTACTGTTCCACGATGGAGTAATCTTGCGCCTTCATTTTTCTCAAAAATTCCTCCGCCTCTTCTTCAGTGACTGGTTTCTTTACTGGAACTGGATTGTCTCTAAGTCTTTTAGCTTTCCTTAACTCTTCCGAGGCAAAGCATCTCCCCGAACGAGTTAATCCCTGGGCCTCATTAACTTCCTCTTTCACTTCCTTCCCCTTATAGGTCATTATCACCTGCTCATAGTTCTATGGGACAGCCTTGGTGTTGACTATCGGCAGCTGGGTCACAGGTTTGATAATGATAGGGTCTGTGCCGGCACCCTCCACAATTATGACAGGCTTATTCACCACCCCCGGCACGATTACCTTTGGCTTTTCTTGCTTTGCTATAGCATCACTTGGGGATCTCTTCTCAACTACCACAGATGGCTTATCATTTGGCATGCTCAACTTGTCTGCTGATCCTTCAGCTATCAAAGAGGTTGCTTTTGTGACAACTAGGCCCTTGACTGACTTAACCTCACTAGCCGGGATAATCATGACGGATTATGAAGGCTTCTTGGGCTCCCCATCCTTATGTACTATCTCGATCATGTTCGTTTCATCATGGGCCGGCAATGGGTTCTGATTGATGTTGGGTGCTTCCGGAGTTTGGACCACAATATGGTTTGTGTCGATGAGCTCTTGGATGGCGTTTTTCAAATGCCAACACTTTTCCGTATCGTGCCCCGGAGCACCAGAACAATATGCACTGCTGAGGGAGTAATCCAGATTCTTTGGAGGAGGGTTTGGCAATTTTTACTCGATTGGCCTCAACATATCCAACTGCTTCAATCTCTGGAATAGACTGGTATAAGACTCCCCAAACGGGGTAAAAGTTTTCTTCCGCTACAGCCTTTCATTTCTGAATGCTGGCTTGGGCCGGAAGCCTGGACCGGCAGGGTTTCGGTATGTTTGTGGAGGTGGGTAGGCATTTTGTGGAGTTGGGTAGGTATTCTGTGTGGTTGGGGCACGCCATTGTGGGTAAGAAGGAGGTTGAGTGTACGATTGGGCGTGGTGGACATGGTATTGAGGTGGCTTGACAGAATACTGAGGGTCTGGTGATGGAAAGTAATGTTGAAGTGGATTATATGGGGATTGGGTGTAGGTTTGAGGTTGGGGTCGAGGATGGGTGTACTGATGAGGTGAACCCCTCTGGTCGTGCCATGGCGCAGAGACAACCATGGCGACATCGTCCTTCTTTTTCTTGCCCAGCAAACTTTCGGTACCACTCTGGATTGCCTGGGTGGTTGCTTTTATAGCGGAGTAGCTCATGATCTTGCTCTACTTGAGCCCCTCTTCCACCATTTTTCCCATCTTTACCACATCATTGAAAGACTTACCAATGGCTGAGATCAAATGGCCATAGTAAGTGGGCTCCAGGGCTTGAAGAAAGTATTCAACCATCTCATCTTCTTCCATCGGAGGATTGAATCGTGCAGCTTGCTCCCTCTATCAGAACCCATATTCTCGAAAGCTTTCACTGGGTTTCTTTTCCACCTTGGTCAGAGATAGGCGGTCTGGATCAATGTCTATATTGTATTGAAAGTGCCGGGCGAAGGCCTGAGCCATACCGTCCCAAGTGTACCACCTGCTGGCGTCCTGGCGAGTGTACTATTCTAAAGCTGCACCACTCAGACTCTGGCTGAAGTATGCCATCAGTAATTCGTCTTTTCCGCCAGCGCCTCTCATTTTACTGCAATAACCTCTCAGATGAGCTACAGGATCCCCATGCTCGTCATACAAGTCAAACTTGGGCATCTTGAACCCGGCAGGCAGTTGGACATCGGGGAACGAACATAAATCCTTATAAGCCACACTCACCTGGTTTCCCAACCGTTGCATATTTCTCAATTATTGCTCCATACTCTTTACCTTCTTGAACATATCCTCTTGCTCTGCGTTCCTGGGTGGTTTCTCAGTTTCAACATGAGGCTCGAAGTGGGGAGTGTAGAAGTAAGGATCTGGGACTTTGAAGGTGGGCTCCGGGGCATAATATTGGGTATCTGGAGCGGGGAATGCGGGCTCACTAGAGGATCGGTGGAGGGTAGCTTGCGGAGGGGGTAAAAAAATAGGAGCAGATGTCAGAGCAGGGTATGAGGTTGTTTTGGCTGGTGGAGGATGGAAAATTTGGGCCGAAGTACCAGGGTAATTGTGGGGAAAGATCAACAGTACTGGGCACCTGGTCTTGGGCCAGTGGTGGAATGGAAGCATGGTTTTCTTCATAGTTGGTAGGGAATGAAGGTGGAGGGTGTCCCTTAATCCCGGCCTGATACATTTCCGCCATCTGATGCCTCAGCCTTCGGACTTCCTCTTTCAGTTCTGACTCCGATTCAACAATTTCCCTTGGTGGGTCTACAACTCCTGTGTCTGTTTCTTTACTAGTCATGACTATCTGGCGCTTTGATCGGGTGTTGTATGGATGACTTGCCAGGATGCCAACAAACTAACCACCTTTCTGTTATTGGAATAAAGATAACAGAGAAAAATAACACAAAACCACCATGTTAGCGTTAGGGCATTTATCAGATAGTAATACCACATTTCGTGCAATGCACCTAGCAATAATTCGCGGTTCTACAATGTCTTTGAGGGTTGCAGGGTCATATGGCATCATTCCAATTTGCTCATTTCAATCCTTGCTTCTCTTTCTTTTCTTGCACCTCTTATCATACATCATTTTCTTCCCACTCTCTTCTTCTTCTTCTTCTTCTTCTTCTTCTTCTTTTTACCAAAAATGATTTGATCGAACCCGATGTAGGTTGCCTACGTATCATGTCCCTCATGAATCAGACCAAGCGTAGTTTTGGAAAAGTTATGGAAAATAAACTAAAAATAAAATCTTTTTGGGATTTTTTATTTAAAAACTTTTCGATATTAAAATATAATGGGAAGTACGATAATGAAAGACCTGACAGACTCAACTACACTACGACAAACTCTGACACTACCTAAAGGACTAAGTACTCCTAGACAAGACACGAAAGTAAAGGATAACATAAGACAATCTCAAAACACCTAAATAGAATGACTCCTCAAGCTGCTCCTGAATGCGACGGTCCTGGCACGGGTCTGATGAAGATCCGGATGGCCCCGTCAATCCTGTCGAATCTAAGCTCTGTGTTATACCCTGCAACGACACCTCGAAACTGGGAATGAGAATCCTGGAATGCGCGCCTGGATCTGGAAGGCCGACTCTAGAAGGTCCTCACGGTGCTGTCCCATGTTCTCTACCAACCCTGCCAACTGTGATCTCAATGACTGAAGTGTAGCTCGAACCCCGACCCTCTCTGCTGCGTGGGCCTCCTCTGCCTGGGTAAATCGATCCATTAACTGTCTAAGCAATATCCATGAGGTGGCCTCCTCATCAAATCACTACAAGAAAGTAGGTTTTCTGTGGCGACTTTTGGTGGCGACAGGAAAACTTGTCACAAAATTGATAGTTTTAGTGGCGACCTTTATATCCACTACTAAAATTATGTTTTAGTGGCGACTGAAAATATATCACCACAATTATGCCTCATTTTTTCTTTCCCCCCGAATTTATTTTTGGCTGAAACGGTTTTTGTGGCGATCAGTCCGGAGTCGCCGCTAGAGGTATTTTAGAGGCGACAATGTCGCCCCAATTAGTAGAGCTCTTGTGGCGACATTTTAATTGTTGCTAAATCAAAGCCTTAAAATCAAGAAAATAATAAAGAAAGTAAGTGACCCTTCTTTAGTTCCGTTTTCCTTTTAGTTCTCTACTTCTCTTCTTTCGTTCAATGTTCCCCGTGAAGAACAAAACCCTAGCCCCTACTGACCCTTTTCTTCTCAGATCTAGTTCATCGCTATCGACCAACAATTGTAATTGTCGGTATTGTACCCACTTCTTCGCGGTTGTCTAGCTCTCGTCCTCAAGAATCTATCTCCTACGCCCTGGATTCGCCTCTCAGGAAATCGGTACGTCTCCTGTTTCTTTCCGTTCTTTTATGAATGGGAAGGTAAGATTGGTTTCGTAACTAGTGATATCAGTAGTTTCCAGGAGTATTACATCAAATATTTACAACCCTAAAATCATTATATGTAATTTTGAGATGAAAGTTTTAAATACATAACTCTTCAGATATATTGTGCAGACTATTTCAGCAATTTCTGGAGGAATTACTGATTTTTTCTTTCATATCATTGTTTAAATATTGCTATTTTTAGTTGCTTTTTTACAGCATCATATTCTGTAATTACATCTTTTTCTTGTTGTGTTTCCCTTATGTTCAAATATATGTGGGCTCAAAAGCAAATAAATGTGTTCGCCCCGGCGCCCTCATTATATTGACTGGTGAACAATCCAAGTATTTTCTTCTTGTCGTTTCTCTATCTATTCTTTGTTTTGTAACTTTAATTACTTCCGAGCTGAAGAACATTTGATGTTTTATCAATTTTCTATTGCAAACCAGTGTAATCTGTGTTGCACTTATAATTCTTTTTTGTTGTTTCTACTTTAGGCTGGAGTTGAAGCGAGGAAGAGTTACAATTCAGTTATTTGGTGGTAATAAGTTTCTTTTTAGGGACTCATTCCTTCTCTCCTGTTACCTTTTCTTGATTCAAAATGTTTGAGGTGTCTTGTTGAACAAAGAAACTTTGATATCCTTTTCAACTTTAATCTTTCAGGGTGCTGAATTTCTTGCAATTTCCTTCTTCTGGAAGTAAACTTTGTGGAATTTATAATTTTCTTTGTAGTTGTCAGACATTTAACTGTTAGATGGTAGGTCTAAATCAAAAGGGTCTGGTCACATGAATTTAGAGAAGGCCAACATTTTGTGTAAATTACTTTTAAATCATTCATTAGTTGGTTTCAGCAATTAAGTGTTTGATGTAGATTAGTTGAATTCCACATATGCAAGTCATTTGAGTAATTTGATCTAATTAACTGTAGCAAAGGCATGAAGAGTTGTGTTCTGATTTGAGAATAGTAGAGGTGAACTTTGATTAATCAGTAGAAGAAAGTCGATCTTTGAGTTGCTACATGCCATAATTATTTTCATCTATCTATCTGGTACTCAATAATTGTAATAGATGTACGACAATAGTTCAAATAATAGTTCTAAATATACTAGCTGCAGATAGTAGAGGTTTGTTATTTGTAATACTAGTATACTTACCCGCGCGATGTGCCGTTCGTTTTAAACAAAAAAGAGCATAGAGAAATATTAAAAAGAGTTATATATTACAGACTATATTTAGCGACTGCAATTAAAAAAAATTAAACGAAAAGAAAAATAGGTGAATTCTATTGGGCTATCTCTATGAATTTGTTGTTAGGGACCACCAATCCCCAAAAGCTATTTTAACATACTTGAGAAATGATACATCAATATCTGGCTTTAAAAGGATTAGTCCACATGAAAATGCATAAACTTTTGGCTCAAGTAGAAACATAAAGGACATCACATTTGGTTAAAATCTTATTTCAGCTCCTGTCTCGAACGAAGGTTAATATGGGTGCACCAACTTGCATAAAATATTATTTTAAGTAGCTCCAACAGAAACCACATAGTGGCTTTAATCTTGATAAATTCGCATCCTTCAAAGTAGGCCACACGCAACAAATAGAACCTGTGCAATAGCAAATATGATGGCTAAAAAATGGCCTAGAAAAATCATCCCTCGAGATATACTCATGTCCAGAATAGGACACTACAATTCTCTTAAGTAACCAAGTAATAATCAACAAAAATATTGCACCTCTAATCAATGGTTTAACACAAAAATAAAAATACTAATACTAAAGAGATAATGACACAGGTAATTACTTTTGTTGATATCAAAATAACAATATTTGATAACAGGTAATTACTTTCGTTGGGGCTAATATTGGGGCCTACGTATGATTCAAGGCCAGATGACAGTACTATTCTAAGAAATTTTCCAGTAGCTGTGAAGATAGCTTACACGTATGGTGCTCTTTAACACCTATAAACAATTAAAAAAATATTAAGTTTTTGTGTACGTTATATAAGGTATAAAAATATCATTTTATACATATGATCAAGAGTTCCCTTTTTTTTTTTAAATTTTGCTTTTCAAATCAGCATGTTCGGGCCAAGTAGAGTTTTCCCCCTATTCCAGTCTAGTGGTTTTAGGCTTGAAGGAACAGGGGTCGTAAGCCTCACTAAGATTGTATTTTCTATTTCTTTGACATAGCCATTGTCCGTTTTATATATTCATCGATGAGATATCAAAAAATAAGATTTTTAGGTGCTGAACATATTACAGTTAAAAAGTAATATGAAAGTAGG